GGGGGGGGGGCGACCGCGGACAGCCGTAGTCACATCGTCACCTGCAGCCTGCACCGCAGCGACCCATCGCGCGGTCGGTGTCGTCCTCACTATTATTGGCAACATTACAACAATCACCATTATCGCAATCAACGTCTACCCGCCAATTATCCGCTATATCTGTCAAATTGCCGAGCATATTGCAGCAACCTTGAGATCGACTGGGAAAAAAACGGGCGAGCGGCTCGTGGCCAAGCATTGTGCACCCTTATCTATTTCACTAGACTGTTAAAACAGTAAAGCAATAACACGACGCTTCGTTGTTATTTCATCTGAAAAACCATGATAAAATTGGTGTAAATAAGAGAGATTTTGTTTATGCCCAATATACGTGAATTGAGACATTTTGTATAGATTCAGAAAGGGGTACATCATCGATATCGGTGTATGCTGCAATAATAATGTCGATTCCAAAATAACACATCCGTTATCGGTATTATGTTATTTTTGTCATCGGGCGCATACATAACAATGATAACAGCTGTGTCACACACACACACACACACACACACAGCTGTCAGTGTCACATGCCTGACATACTACCCATGAAATGATAGTACGTAGAGGAGCTGTCGCACCTGAGCAAAGAAGTCAGCGAGCCGATGATAATGGTATGCCATGGCGTCTCCGACACGTCCTTGGGAGTACTTTCACTCCTGCTGCAGGCGAGGCGGGTATCGCTCTTGTCGTTTATTTGAGAGCCCGAGAGTGTTGTTACAACCGGTTACGATATGCTAATCGATGGTATTAACCAATCGACCTGACGACGCTGACGCGGCCTTCGAGGGCAGAGTGACGCGTTCCCGACAGCGTGAACTTGACCGGGCGGCGGCCGTGACGAAGGGCGAGGGTACATCAATACAGCAATATCGACAGCAAGTTTCACAAAAACAAAAATAAAGCGTTGCGTTGTCAAGTAAAAGGGAAAATCTCGCGCGCCCCTCATATACCTTCCAATAAAGAACGCGACTCGTGACGCTGCGGGGCGCTCTGTGCTTCGCGCGCTTTACCCCACGGGAAACATGATTCAACCTTAGAGCCGAGCCGGCAACCTTTTATCTCGGCCAACTTTGCGTGCGCCGCCGTCTCCCGGGGGACGTTAGTATTATCGAGCTCTTCCCTGCGCAGAGAGGTTTTCGTTTGTTTTTCTCCGACGTCGCCGAAAAAAAAGAAAATAATATCGCAAAGAGAGGGCGGCGGTGGCCAAGAGGCGGGGAGGCGGGGCGACCGCGCCGTCGGTGGAGCGTCGCTGTACGCTGTCTGTCGAGGGGGTGCGCGGCTGTCAGCGCTATCCGCATCCACGTCTGCTTATACCAGACGAAACGATAGGGATAGGGGGAGACAACTACTGTCGACGCGGGTCACGGGGCAGGTGGGGGAAGGGCGCCGGGGGCGCTGGGGGCACCGCGGGCGCAGAGCTGTCAAACTTGTAAATAATACAGCCCCCTCTTCTCCAAAGGACCTCTGCCCCGACCCGCCTTTGCGCCAAGGTCAGGTGAGAGGTGAGGTGTCGAACTCCGCGGACCCAGCCCAGGCTCGCCAGACTCGCCATCACCACGCCCCTTTTTACACCTCCTCGTTGTCTTATTTTTGTTCTTCTCTCGAGGGGACGGCGGCGGGCGGACGCGTCTAAAAGCGGCCCCTGCCCCCTCCTTCCCTCTCCCTCCTCTCTCTTACAACGACATGCGCTCTCGCGTGAGGTAGGTCGCGGACGAGGAGGTGAGTGCGCGGCACACAGACGATGATACGTACGCCCCACAGCCGCTCGCTGTTCCTCATCTCTTTTTGCGGAAAGCATTAATTGCTGTGAAATTAAGCGTCAAGTTTAAATCGGCTTACGGCAAGTTTCAGGTGGGGGCCCCGGCAGGTTGACTTAAGCTCGCGCCTCAACTATTCGTTCCTCTCGCCCCCTGAAACTTTCTGCCGCCGATCTTGGATATACCAGGTGGCTGATTCACGCCGCGCACTTCTGTAGGTATACTGTACCGCATGCACGAGTGCGGGCGGGCTTGCCTATCGCCCCTGTCCACGGCGCCTTACGAGCCGAGCGAGTAGGCAACCCGCCCGCACTCGTGCATGCGGTACAGTATACCTACAGAAGTGCGCGGCGTGAATCAGCCACCTGGTACTTTAACTATGTACCTGACTTGCGCCTTCCGGCCGTCGAGGAACTCTTCGTACTCTTGCTGCTCCTCCTCCATGTTCTCGGGCAGGTGCACGACGGCGTCCTGGTGCTGCTGGACGTCCAGGCGCTTCTCCTGCTCCAGGCGCATCCGCTTCTGGACGCCGCGCGACTTGCACACGTCGCAGCCCATGTCTTCCAGGAGTTGCTGCGTCGCCCGGAAATCGACGCCGCAGTCGCACTCGTACTCGTCCGGCATCTTTTTGCTGACCGGTGTGTCTTCTCTACTTTTTTTTCGTTGGACGCCTTTCACTGATGAGCTGACGGATGCTGCTGCGTCGTCGGAGACGATCTTCTCCCTATCTGTCTCTGCTGTCTCCAACTGCCGGTTAGGAATGTCGATGCCTCGCTGTCGACTCGGTCAGGACTCCCGGTCTAAAACCCCAAACGAACCGATCGCTGCGAACCAGACACGGTTACTGACGGCCCGGGGTCCCTCCGCGCCGCGACCACGCCTCGTGTGTGATGGGCTGCCAGCTCGGCCAGCCCCGCCTGCCGGGCGGGCTGCCAGCCTCGTCGGCCCGGCGCTGCACCATTCACGCAAAGGGGCAGCAGCAGCAGCAGCAGCACCACCACGAGCAGCCAGTCTCCCCGCCCTGCCCCGCCACTAATCGATGTAAAAGGACCAGTAATAGATGCCCTTGTTGCCCCCGGCTGCCTCCCTGGGCTGGGACCAGCAGCGCCTGCAGGCGCGCTATTATCAAACGGCTTCGTAACATCGTTAGGCTCATGGACATCTCCCCCCCCCCTCCTCCCCACCATCCTCTCTGTGATGAAGCCGTCGAGGGCGCGCGCACTCAACGGGTTTAATTAATTTGCAATGTCGCCATTACCTCATCTTTTGCTGATGATTCGTTTGCTTTTATATTGATGGGGGAGGTGTGAGGGTAGAATGCAGCTGCGCAGCGGGCAAGGCAAGGCGGGGAGGGAGTGAATTCAGAGTTTCGCTGCTTGACAATGAAGAATCCCATAGCGAGCGAATGCAGGAAGTCGCGGGCGCACACGGCGCAGTGCCGCGTATCACCGCTGCCTCCTCACCTGTCTCCGCCTCGCACATTGTGCGGCAGGCGCCTTGCCCCGCCCTGCCCCGCCCTGCCCCGCCCCCTCTCTCTTGCACGGATGGTTCGTGTTCGCGGAGTGAATGCCGCGGGGCCGGGTCGGCCTGGGCGCGGGCCGTGCCGTCGTGGAGCCACCGCGGACTTTGCGCGGGGTTGTCGTGGTGGCCGCGGCAGGCCGAGCCCGTGAGGTTCACCGGCCTGGACGGATTACCGCCGTGTGGCCGGGGTGGGTGGCCGGCGGGCGGGGTGGGCTTGAGGGCGAAATCGAATGACCGGTTTGGAAAGGCTTCCGAATAAAACAAAGTTGCCCGGCCGTTGGGTCGCGGACACTGGCCGGTGCAGCACAGTACAGTACAGCGCGCCGCACTTACAGACAGTACACATTTCCTCTCTTGAGTCACGCCACATGGGGAACCTATCCGATATTTTGTTCAAAAAGAGCAACGCTAGGCGTAGATAACGTCCACCGTACCGACGGGAAAATTCGGCCCGATCGAAGCCTTTGCGCTATAAAATGGCGCATGACGACAAGAGCCTGACCATAGAGCGCTTTGTTTGATGTTTTTTTTTTATTTCTTAATTTCTTTGTTCTCTTTTGAAATAGTCGCCTCTCAAACGACAACAACAAAAGTCGTATGAGGGAGAGGGGCTTTGTCCGACGTGCACAGGATGTTGCGCCTCTTGTGACACAAACAAGGGAGAAGGACTAAACACAAAATAAATTTTGCGCTAAAATGGTACTTGTTCTTTACAAGGCCTCTACACTCACGTCAGTGCCGTTTAGTAAGGACGAATAGTTTTCTCAGTGCCGTGTGTTAGTAAAAGTGAGGAAAGTTTTCGGTTTAAAAGGGATAAAGCATGGGGGTGGGTGGGAAAGCTTGCCCCTAAGCTGTGCTCGCTTTGCGAGCTCAGAAATAAATTCTGGAGCCAGTAGTTCACTCTGTACCGTGCATGTTGGAAATGATGAATATGCCTCTTTCTTATGGACAAAACCATAATCTGTCCACTGAAGGGATGCAAAATAATTTGTAACTGGTAAGTTTCAAAATTGCAACAGTGGGTTCAAAAGTCCACGCGAAAAAATTATCCAACAAATTGTGTGGTCGGCACTGATTGGGATAGGTGGTATCGATTGTCCCGGATTGTCCTATGTACACAACGGGCACGCGGCGGGCGTGTGCGCGGCTGGCTCGGCGCAGATAAGCGACTCGCCTGCAGCGTTTAGCGCGAAGGGCGCGGCTAGGCGGGCTATGGACGGCGTAGTAATATTTTGGTTATCATCGAAGGAGGGGCGCGGGGACAGAGAGTGGTGTGGTGGACAGATTCGTCTTTCTAGACGATAATACGAATAACAAATAACAATAAAAATAGTAAAGAGAGGGGGGGGGGAGGAGGAGGGATAGGGTCGGGCGCGTATCTGCCGGGTGTATCGCTTGTGATGCCGCTGCGAGTCAGCTGTTTGTGAAGGGCTGACTGTTTGTTTTTCCGCAAAAAGGGGGGCGGGGGCGAGAGCGTGACAGAGAGAGAGAGACAGAGAGAAACAGAGAGAGACAGAGAGAAACAGAGAGAGACAGAGAGATAGAGAGAGACAGAGAGAGACACAGAGAGACACAGAGAGACAGAGAGAGAGGGAGAGCGGGGGGAGAGTACACAAATTTTTGGTGCTCGCCGCGGAAATGAAACAAGTTTCGCTGCTACTACTTCGTCGCCAGTCGCCCGCCCCTTGCTCCCTGCTCCCCCAGCCCCTTATGCCACTCCGGACGTCCGGGCCAATCAGCAGCAGGGCGCGCCGTGCGGGGCCTAAGGGCCTGGCCACGTGACTCGGGGGACCTCTGCTCGGTCTCGGCACGACTCGGCCCGACTCCGCGGTGGTCCTGGATAGGTAATTTCCCCCAGCGCGGTCCTTTGTCCAGCAGCCCCCAGCCCCCCCTCTCCAATGGTGGCCCCCCCGTGGCCGTGGCTCCAGCCCGGCTCGCTGTTATTGCAATTAACTCCAACCTTGTTCGGTCGCGGCAAGGGGTGGGTCTCCGTCCGCCGGGCTCCGCGGGGCTGTGCTGCTGGGCCTGCTGGGCCTGCTGGGCATGACGATGTACTCTGCCACACAATCCCCCCTCCCGTTGGTGATCGATGCCCGCCCCCGCCGGCTCTCCTTCCTCCTCCTCGTCTGGGGGGGGACTGACTTCTGAGTGCGAAATGAATGTGTCTTCGTGGAGGTGGTGTGGTGGAGGAGGAGCTGTTGACAGAGTTGCCGTGCCGTGCCGTGTGTTGTGCCTTCTGCTGAATGCGTGCAGAGGGGAGATAATGAAACGACGATTCAAGGATGAGAATGAATGCATGAGGATAGAGAATGTATGGATGATAATGAATGAAAATGAATGACGATGAATGAAAATAAATATCAATG